ATTTCATAATTACTTTTTAAGTAAGATGCATTTCCTCTCCCATTTTCTACATCTCTCCCCTTATCTTCTTGTCAATCACTATTAGCATCTAATATCTATATATATTTTTTTTCTATTAGTTATTTTAATAATGAATTAACATCGTCCACACACCCAATATAATTATGCCTTATGTTATATCAATTTATTTATTAAACTTATATACAATGCTTCACATCTACATTGTTGTAATTAAATCCAATTAAAAATCTGTGTTGGATCTCTAGATATACTTTGTAGCCAATTACATTTTTTTGTGTAACATATGCAGGGCATTCCCACATATGTGGTGCTTCTAAAACACAACATATGTTATTATAGACTTCTTGGAGGTAAGTGGACAGAGTAAAAGCTAAACTATTGCTTCATGAAATGTTCAAATCAAGTAAGCCAATAAACATAATCCAAAAAAGAGCTAACATGCTAAGCTATGGGCATGTCCCTATCTTTTAAAAGCTTAGGTAAACTTCTTACAACTATTTTAAATGAGAAACTCAAAAGCATCATCTCTTACACTCATAGTATATTGCTGATTCTTTAGCTTAAGCACTTCATCTTTGCTTGAGACAACATCAAAATTCAATGAATGCAAAAGATAATTTAATTTAAAGTAAATGATAAATGAAGACAACTCTATCAAGAAGAAGGAATAAAAAAAATTGTACAGCAAAGACAGTATTTTAAAGTATATGACATTATATTCCCTGCACATCACCCATGAGACTCCAGTATCTGTTCCACAGCCATTTTTGTTGCCCAAACAAAGTATACATGACCAGAATATGATTTACCCTTTGGCCTAAACTCATTCTCAAACTATAGAAATGAGAAAAGCATCTATGGTTATTAGTCTCCAATTCATCCTTTGAGATCTTCCACTTTAGAAAATCAAAGTTATGACTAAAAGTTTAGCCAAATAGATCCCATTACAACTCTAAAAATTTCAAATACCAAGAATCCCTTACCTGAGAGAGGATGATGGGGCCACCTTCTGAGGGAGACAAATTTTCATTCTTCATCATTTGGACAATCCACTAAATTAAACTTTGTAGTTCCACCTTTGTATTATAAACCATGCAATAATGGAAGTAATCCTTTCAGATTCATGTATCTTCAAAATTAATTTTGAATTAAATAAAAAAATAAACTTACAGGTTATAAATTCTGTGAATCACAATAGCATTCCCATAAAAAAAAGTGTATATGTAATAAAAAAAAAAAACCACAGAACTATTAATTTAAGATACATATAACACTGCTACAGTAATTCTGTAATCCATTTTAGATACATAATTTCGGTTCTTCCTTCTACTAAAAATTTTTCTCACACTCCAAATTATAAGCGTTTTTAACTAAAGCTTCCAAAATCCAAATAACCATAACAACCAAGACAAACCAACTAAAAATCATCATCCACCATCAAATATATCTAAAATGTGAAGGAAACATGTTAAAGTCACTTAGTTTACTACACTTGCTATAGGCTTTTTTAGGGTATGTACATGGGACTCTTCTCATAAGCATCTTAGATAGCTAAAGATTTCAATTTTGGTTAGACAAAAGCCATGAACGAAACTTTAATTAGTATTTTCAATGAAAGGGGAAATAAAAAGGAATTGAAAGAACTAATATGTGCATAGCTATTCAGGCATATGTTGTAAACTTCTAATCTTATAGTTCAAGGGATAAAAACCAATCTCATCCTTTAGAAACGGTGGGGAGAAAGTAGTTTTCTCATCCTTCTGAACTCTACTCTAATCTCACACCTAATGGCTTTGGTTCTAATCATTGGTTGCTCTATAGTGGCCTGTTGTTTTTTGTCTTTCAATCTCCTCTTTGATACCCTTGGTTCTCTTCCTTGTGCTTCTTGAACTTTGGCTTTCCTTCTCCATGATTTGAAGTTTAGAGTTGATGGTGATCGAGTGGTCTGTGGTGATGAAGAGAGCATACGAAGGAAGGGGAATGGGTCACCATGAAGAACAGAGATCAACCATCAAAATTTGAAACCCACATATCAAATTCAAAAACCCACCTTCGAAATCAATTTGATTAGCTGACGGATTGTAAAATGCAGAGGATTTGAAAATTGTATGATGGATTCTTTATCGTAGAGTTGGTTCGAGCTTCCTCCCTTCCTTGCATCCAAACTCTAAATTCCACCCATATAAACCGATAGAAGTTGTACGGGTAGTTTCTTGTAGTTTCAAACAATAGAAGCACATGCGGAGCAATCAATGATTGATATTGATTACAGATAGTTTCTTGTAGTTTCTGATGAGGTAGCCGCAAAAGCACAAAAGTGGAAGTAAACATAAAATGTTTTCAATGGTTGTTGTTTTGGGCTAACTAAGCCCATTAAGGCTATACCTTGGAAGCGCTATTAATAATAAGGATTGGTTTGTAGTTGAGATGGTTAAACTTATAGGGGACAAAAGAACCCCAAAAATGATATTTAGATTTAATGTTCTCCTACTCCAACCATTATCTAACATGCTTGGTCAGACCACACATTAAGATCAAGCTAAGAAACTTGCCGG